TAACAATTTAAAACAATAAGTAGAATAAAGCCACCTTGTACGATGATCTGTATATTCCTTAAATACCGAGACTACAAGATAATTTAGGCACAATAACAATTTAAAACAATAAGTAGAATAAAGTCACCTTGTACGATGATCTGTATATTACCTTAAATACCGAGACTACAAGATAATTAGGACCAATAACAATTTAAAAACAATAAATAGAATAAAGTCACCTTGTACGATGATCTGTATATTCCTTAAAATACCGAGACTACAAGATAATTTAGGCCCAATAACAATTTAAAAACAATAAGTAGAATAAAGCAACCTTGTACGATGATCTGTATATTCATTTCATCTTTGCCGAAGCTGTTTGAACCTACACAAGTGAAGAGAGAGGAATCTCTTCTGTCTGCTGATTGGACCTGCAGTTGTGATGACGTGCCATCGTCGGTTAGAGTTTGGGTTATATCATACCTAAGATGTAAACATAGCTAGTTAATTAATAAAATTGTTAATTATTAAACATGATATTAAAAAAACAAAAACAGATCAAAAATAATTTCATAGAAATTTTTGGAGAACAGACGTTTTAATGTAGTTTCTGTTTTATCATTTCACGTGAACAGACGTTTTAATGTAGTTTCTGTTTTATCACTGCACGTGAACAGACGTTTTAATGTAGTTTCTGTTTTATCACTGCACGTGAACAGACGTTTTAATGTAGTTTCTGTTTTATCACTGCACGTGAACAGACGTTTTAATGTAGTTTCTGTTTTATCACTGCACGTGAACAGACGTTTTAATGTAGTTTCTGTTTTATCACTGCACTTGAATAGATGTTTTAATGTAGTTTCTGTTTTATAAAAGGTTAAAGTATCTCTATAGTTATTGTAAGCCAAAGATATTAAGTACATTATTTAAACCGTTAATTTTAGGCACTGAGATTGATAGATATTTAAATCTTTTAAATATATTCATTTTCTAAACAATACGTTTATCAATATGCCACAGCGCATGAAATATAATTACTGAAAAAACCGAGATATAAATATCTTTTTAATTACTGAAATAACCAAGATATAAATACATTTTTAATTACTGAAATAACCGAGTTATAATTATCTTTTTAATTACTGAAATAACCGAGTTATAATTATCTTTTTAATTACTGAAATAACCGAGATATAAATATATTTTTTATTACTGAAATAACCTAGATATATATTTTTAATTAATTAAAAAACCGAGTTATAAATATCTTTTTAATTACTGAAATAACCCAGATATAAATATCTTTTTAATTACCGAAAAACCGAGATATAAATATCTTTTTAATTACTGAAATAACCAAGATATAAATACATTTTTAATTACTGAAATAACCGAGTTATAATTATCTTTTTAATTACTGAAATAACCCAGATATAAATATATTTTTCATTACTGAAATAACCTAGATATATCTTTTTAATTAATTAAAAAACCGAGTTATAAATATCTTTTTAATTAATGAAATAACCAAGATATAAATATCTGAGAAGTGGTCTTACTTTTACCTTCTATTCAAACGGAAGTCCAGGTTTTCGCCATCTTTTTTCCACTCGACCCTCAACGGGTGATCACCAAACACTTTGCACGTGATACGCAGTGGATTTCCTTGCCGGATTGTTTCAGCTTTAAACTCGTTTGTAAAATAAGCAGGGACTGGATTCAATAACAATAGAGAGTTATACTTTGTGATATTGACAAGCACTACTTATATTTGTGAAGTGTTAATAGGCACCAAAAACACAGTGTTACATATGTAGTGTTGATAGGTAGTAACTTCGAAGAACACAGTGTTACACGTATACTATGTTGATAGGTAGTAACACAGTGTTAAATGTATATTGTGTTGATAGGTAGTAACACAGTGTTAAATGTATATTTGTTGATAGGTAGTAACACAGTGTTAAATGTATACTGTGTTGATAGGTAGTAACACAGTGTTAAATGTATACTGTGTTGATAGGTAGTAACACAGTGTTAAATGTATACTGTGTTGATAGGTAGTAACACAGTGTTAAATGTATACTGTGTTGATAGGTAGTAACACAGTGTTAAATGTATACTGTGTTGATAGGTAGTAACACAGAGTTACACGTATACCATGTTGATAGGTAATAACATAGTGTTACATGTTTATTTTCGAAGTTCAACTATGTTCCAAACCAAAGTTGTAAATATTCGTATTTGTTGATAAACAGCTCAGGAACGATTTTAGAAAGTATAATAAAAAAATCATATAATATCAGTTTATCTGTTTGATATTCTGTTTTCTGTTGTGTGAAATATTAACTTTGTAGAAACAACAAAATATTTTCACAATAATGCTTTTATTAACGTTCTCTCATATCGATGTAACGATTTATGGCAACTTCCACGATGATCATTTTTGTCTTACAAAACTTGCGGAAAGTGACCTTTATTTGAATAAGAAAACTGAAACCTATTATGTTATTATGACCTGTCTTCTGTTGATTTACATACAAATCCAACCAACCGAGAGGTTTCGCTTGAGGATCTCGTGTAATGGAATTTGATATAAAAATTGAGATCCCAGCTCTTGTCATGAATTATCTGTATTTAAAAATTCTTTAGAAACTTCTGAAGCAGGATTAATTTTACAGAATGTATGATGTGATGTTAGGGAAGAAAATTCCACTTTCTGAACTAATGGGATCACCACAACAACTTATAAATGGAACTTGCCAGATCCTGTTACTGGAATCTGAAGTCGAAGAAAGATTATATATTACATAGAGATGAATGGTTGGTTAAATCTATAAAACTATATATATATGAAAGTTAGGGTTTTGGAGATAAATCACCTTAAAATATATAGTTTTATTTTTATTTTCAATGTGACGTTTCGAACAATCGCTATTTTTTAAGGCAAAAAGTTAAAAGTGAAACAAGCTTGTTGATTAATGATAAACTATTGAAGGACGGGTTAAAAGAAATACAATACACGAAGAAAGAATGACAAACAAGATGAAAATACGACATTTAAAGATTATAGTAATGATTACGGTTTAAAAGAAATACAATACACGAGGAAAGAATGACAAACAAGATGAAAATACGACATTTAAAGATTATAGTAATGATTACGGTTTAAAAGGAATACAATACACGAGGAAAGAATGACAAACAAGATGAAAATACGACATTTAAAGATTATAGTAATGATTACGGTTTAAAAGGAATACAATACACGAGGAAAGAATGACA